TCCCAGACATCTTCAGAACCAGCGGCTTTCTCTTTGTCAGGGAGCACATAGATGTGTTTCATCTTCACTGAGCAGGAGGCTGCCTCACGTGGGCTCATCAAGGGGGCTGCTACAGCAATTTGCACATTTAATACGACTTTTCTCAGCTGCTCTTGGAAATCAATCTGTTCTAGGGAAGTCTTTACCTGGCAACCGCCGCTTAGTGGCTTGGGAAGGGCCCTGATGGAAACTGGAAGGGATTTTTCAAGGGAGGAAGCCGGTCCTCCCATCCTTCATGCATCAGAGAGACAACCTGTCCCTTTCCTCTGACCTTCAGGAAGGATGTCTCTCAGGAAGGAGGCCTTGTCTCTGGGGTGGGGGTGGGAGGGAGAAAGGAGACAGCCCAGACTTCTGCTTTTGGCCAGTCCTAGACTGGGCTTAGGGAGGCAGACTCAGGGAAACTCTGCCTCCTCCAGGATGTGCTGACCCAGCCTTAGTGTCACAGATGTAGTCAGATAGAGAGCTTTGATATGGAGGAGACTTAGAAGAAGTTGGGCAGACATAGCTGGGGGCTTTCACTCCAGGTCATTGTCATACTGGAGCCAGTATGCTGTTCAGTCATGTCTGACTCTTCCTGAGCCCATTTGGGGTTTTCTTGGCAGAGATACTAGAGTGGTTTGCCATTTCCTTCTCTAGCTCATTTTACAGATGAGGAAACTGAGGCAAACAGGCTGAAGTGACTTGCTCAGAGTCATAGAGCTAGTAAGTGTCTGAGTCTGGATTTGAACTCAGGAAGATGAGTCTTCTATCCACTGTGCCACCTGGATTCCATACTTGGCTCATTCTCTGTGTAACCCGGACTAAATCTGAGGCCACAAATTATAATCTCAGCTCTGCTGCAACTGGCTAAGTAGTTAGCCACTTAGCTTTCTCTAGGCATCGGTGTCCCTGCAAAGTGAGTTTGATCAAATATGGTAGGAAAAGAGCAATGAATTTGAAAACAGGAGCCTTGGGAGCAAACCTTTGATCTGATACCCTTGACCAAGTCATTCAGATTCACTTGGCCTCAGTAATTTCATCTGTAAAATGGGGATAATGCTTTTTCTACCAGCCTCATAGATCTGTTGTGGGTAAAGTGCTTTGGTCAACTTAAAGTTTTAGAGAAACGGGAATGATTTCCTCCCCTCCCCTCCTCCCCCTCAAGATTGCTATTCCCTAGCAAGGCTGGTTCTGTGCATGGAAGAAAAGCTTAGCATGATAAATGGCGTGATTTGAGGAACATCGGCCCCTGTGGCCTATTTTGTAACTCTCACCACTGGAGTTACTGCTCCCCCCACCCCGATTTCAGTGATGACTTTCCTCATCAGACCTCACAGAGCATTTCTCTTGCACCACTTCGGTGTTGTTAGCATATAATGCTATATATGATAGTTATCTTCGATGGTACCCTCCTACTAGGTTATGAGCTCCATGCGGGCCAGACTGGTGTCTTACCTAAACTCTGAATGTCCTCTAATTCCCAATACAGGGCTCTGCACACAGCAGGTGTTTAATACATGTTGGTGAAATTTTTTTGAAAAGCATTATTCCTCTGGGAGTTATTGTCTCCGCAAGGCCATTGTGAAAAGGATGGATAAGGTCATACGTAGATAACCTCGGAAGGGAGGGGATAAGATGTAATGGAAGGAGCCTGTACTTTAGTCTCGGCTGGGCCACTTTTCACTGTGGCGTCTCGAGCGCACTATCATCATCATCATCTTCGTCATCATAGCTCACATTTCTTTAGCATCTTATGAATGTGAGCTCACTTTGAGTGGGGATTACTTCATTCTTTGTAGTTGTATTCCTAGCGTCTAGCACAGTGCCTGGCACGCAGTAGGTCTTAATAACTACTGGTGGACTGAATGATTGATTAAGGTTTTTCTAAAATGTTTTCCTTGTAACAACCCCTCGAGACAGGGAATACAGGAATTCTCACTCCTTGTTCTACAGATGAAAAAACCAAGACTCAGGGAGGTTGATTTGCCCAGAGTTGTATTTAGTACATGTCAGAGCTGTTACTCTATCTTAGGCCCTTATAATTCTAGGACTAGGTTATGCTCTTTTCATTACACAACATTGTCTCCCTGTTAGAGCTGGAAGGAGCCATTTATTCTAACCCTTCCATTTTTATAGATGATGATTTTTAAGGTCAAGAGAAGAGAAAGGACTCCAAGGTCAAGTTCAGGACAGGCTTGACTTTCAATTCAGTCTTTCTCTCTGATCTTTGGTTCAAGTGTGGAGATATTATTTCCCCAGCTAGACTGTGAACTTCTTGAGGGCAAAACCCACGTCTTTTTCTTTTCTGTATCCCCTACAGGACTGAACCCACAATAAGCACTCGATAAATGCTGATTTATTGATCGGTTAGCGATTCTGTTTTCCGCAGAGAATTAGGATGGGGCTTCTGACCCACCACCTTCGTAAGATGTGCACTTGGAGGTGCAGTTTTTTAGTTAGTAGGAACAGGGGGTTTTGGGTCATCCGCAGCCTTTCTTGTGACCAAAACAAAGTCCTGCTGACCTCCCTGGCTCCCTTTAAGTCCCAACTAAAATCCCATCTTTTCCAGGAAGTCTTTCCTAACCCTCTTAATTCCAGTGCCTTCTCTCTTTTAATTATTTTCTATTTGTTTGTACAGAGTTGTTTGCCTGTTGTCTCCCCCGTTAGACTGTAAGCTCCTTGGGGGCAGGGACTGTCTTTTGCCTCTTTTTGTATCCCCAGCACTTAGCACAATGCCTTGCACATAGTAGTGCCTGGCACAAAAACTAATGTTTATTAATTAACTGATTTACATGAGTAGACGGAGTTTTCATACCAGTAGTTCCTCATGCTAATGAAATCAAAGATCTGGAGCAAAAAAAAAAAAATTAATCACATGTATTGGCAAATTACCCTTTGGTGAAAAGTGTGCCTAGATCCTGGGAAGATCAAAATAAGGCTTTTTCTTTCTATTAGATTGTTACCTAATAATTAAACCCTTCTTTGAGATAGCCTATGAGTGGGGAAAGAAAAATGTTTAACACCCAAAGTCTCTTGCCCTTCGTGGAAGGTGAACTGAAGCTTCAGGGCCTAAAACTTATAGGGTCATAGAACTAGTCTACCAGAACCACATTTTACAGTTGAAGAAACTGAGGTCCAGAGAATCATTTTCCCAAGGTCACTCAAGTAGTGTCAGAAGTGGGATTTGAACCCAGGTCTTTTGACTCCAAATCAGTTATATTTTTACTGTGCTTCATTGCACTATTATTAAGTGATTCCTTTGAAGTCCTCATTGCCTTCTTCTTGAGTTCTCTCAAACAGCACTTTCCTTGGGAGGGAAACACAGCTACTCTCTTCCCCTTCCAGGGAAGGTTCCTGCCCTTGGGGTAAGGGCACATGTATTACTGGGTGGCCCCAGTTCCTTTCGTCCTTGGTAACACGGTGGGCATGATGATGAATAGCAATGACTCATGAATGGGGAAAGTGTTCTCAGGAGTCCATGGCTCCCCTATCCCTTACAGTGTCATAATTAACAGCAAATCCTATCTGGCTGTGTATATGGGCAGGGTGGCAGTAAAGAGCCTGTCTCTCTCCTACCTAGTTAGCACAGGAATATTTCTCCATGGGTCACAGATTCAGGGAATGCCTTTCTAGCAGAGACACAGGGCAGGATTATTTTGATTCAAGACTGTAGCCCTGGGATTCTTAATCTTTTTTGTGTTATAGACACTGTGCACAGTCTGGTGAAGCCTATGGACTCCTCAGAATACTGGTTCGCTTTGTAATCCTAATGTATTTTATTTTAGGCATGTAGGATTCCTTAGAATAATGGTTTTAAAATATATGAAATAAAATATGTAGGGTTACAAAGGAAACCCGTTATATTGAAATAAAGATGTAGGGTTCTCTTGTTTTGTTTTGTTTTGTTTTTCTTATCTAAGTTCACAGGTCTCCTGGAATCTATCCATGGATACCTCAGGGGTCCATGAGGAGGTAGATGGCTCTGTTAATTTAATGGGGTCCCTCTCCCTTCTGATCTGATGACTGCTGGAAGAACTTTCAATGGCACTATATATCATCTAAGACAATGGACCAAAGTGATGAAACCTAGTGTAACAGGAAGCAGCAGGCAGCTGTGCTGAAGTTTGGCCTTCCCTCCTATTGCTTTTCTTTGACCTTGCAGCTGGGAAGGGAGAAGGGGCCGAATGAGTCTACTCCTACATTTTTTCCTTCCCAAGGGCACTTCGGGATGCCCTCCTGGCCTTGCTTGCTGACCTATAGCTGCTCTGATCAGGTAGTGTCCTGAATAGCCAAGACCTGGCTTGGCACTCCTTCCCTGCACTCCTCACATTCCCTGTGGATGCCACCTAGAAATGCCCACCTGGGCCTAAGAAAGGTTACCCAGTGTCAGTCTATAGGATTCCTTGTGTGCTTTATTTACTTTTTTAACCAAGCCATATGATTTTGTTCCTGTGAGGAACTCCCTTGAACAAAGCAGATGAAAATAATAGTGATAAATAAAGCTGATAATAGTTTTAGAGAAATGCCCATTGCCACTCAGAGGTTAGGCGAATTGCTCAGGGACACACATCCGGTATGTGGTGGAGATGGGACTTGAAGCCAGCTCTCTATCCACTATACCAGGCTGCTTCTGGTGTGTTTTATATATTTATGATTGTTGTTAAGGACTCAATTGTTACCGTGTAGAATTTGTTATTGATAGTTTTGTATGTTGTCTAGGAATTCCCCTGTTGGCCCATGCATGGATCACTTGTGCTCAATAGTTCACCTGGTGCTAGACTGGCCAATTTATTATTGAGCTAAGAATTCCCCTGTCCGTCTCTATTCTGATGATCTCCATCAAGTACTTCTCTTCCTAGAATAAGCTCTAGAGAGTTTTTTGTGTCGTTTTAGGGTCTCAGGCCACAGGTGTCACCTCCCAAGTGTGGCCTGAACCAGATGAAAAATGTAATTGTGAAATATTTGACAAAATAAATAAAAAGTACAACAAAACAAAGATAACATTACATTTTAAAACTAAGTCAATATGCAGCCAGCAGGGATCCTTACGTATGGAATTAGTGTTCTAGGCAAGGCCAAAAGATCTGAGGAGACCTGGCACTCCAAAAGAATTAGGGGTGCATAGATTCAAAGCCTGCTGGAAGGTGAGGAGCTGCTCCCAGGTCAGCATTAATAACATTTTTCTTTCCAAAAGGGAGAGGCAATATTGATATAGGCTTTTATAGTTACAAAGAGCTTTACTTCTGCTATCTCATTTGAGCTTTATGAGACAAGAAGTTGAGAGGGTGTTATCCCCATTTTACAGATGAAGAAATTAGGACCAGAGAAGGGAAGGGATTTGCCTAATACTACATAGCCTAGTAACTGGCAGCCCTCGGCCTCCTGCACAGGTTCTACTGCTCATTGATCGCCATGGCTCTATTTTCAGGTCCCTGAAAGAATCTTCAACTTTCCTCTTCCTGACTGGAACTGCAGAATCCTCAGGATTCCCTGGAAAGTGGTCCTTCTATTCTCATTGGAGCTACTTCTGCAGAGTCCCGATTACTGGACATGAATAGTGGCATACTCAGAATGGAGACCCTTCTCCTCCGCTGGTTTCTTGGACTGAGGATTTTTCCCAATGGGTTGGAGATCAGCATATACAATCTCATTGTTCCTGGTTGTCTGGAAAGATAAAGAAAAAAGGCCTTGGTTAGGAGGTTTGGGGGAGGGGAGGAGGAATTGGGAACATCTTATTGGTGAAGCCAAAATCTATATGGATAAGGTATGTAAGTGTATATTAAAAAAAAACCAAAACAAAACATGATTCCTTCCTCTCAGGCCTGCCTCATTAGATGACTTTGGGCATTGGAAGAGATGGTCTCAACCTAGGGAGTTTAGAAGACTTGTCCAAGATCACATAGACATTGAATGTCAAAGGTAGGCTTTGAACTCAGGTCCATTGACTCCAAAGTCAGTGTTCTTTGCCACTCTGTTAGATCTCTTCTAGCTCTAGGCATTCTAGGTTTTATGTCCTATAAGTCTGTGGGCCAGGGTGGAAGGAAGAGCCAAAGAATTCCCAGTTTCAGAAGAATCACAAAAGAAAACTGCTTCAATTCCCTGACTCTTTGTTCCACCATCTGCATTCACACAAGGATGGTTATAAAGCTCTGTATAGCCTCTCAGCCCATATCCCTGCCAGCCAGAGGGGGATCACAGATAAATGGGAAATCCCTTGAATCTCCTCCATTCCTTTTGCCAAATCACGTCTTCCTCTTGTAACTTTTCCTTCTTGACCGCTTCTTCTTCATCTTTGCTGCTCTCCTTCGTCCCCCTCCCTTATCCTATCACTATCGGGGAGCCAGGCTTTTCTATTTCTAACTAGAAGACACAGACTACTGTGGACCCCTTCAGGCAATGTCAAAGCATTAAACATTAGGACGGGTTCCTGTCTGGTCCTTAGGAAAGCTAGGGCCAGGACCCTGACTCTGCCTTTTTGTGTGACTTAGTCATCACCTAAGATCACAGGTCATAAGAATTAGAGTGGAAGGGCCTTAAAAGTCATATAGTCCAACCCCCTTTTCTTACAGATGAAGAAATTGAGGCCCATGGAGGTAGATTGTTTTGCCCAAGGTCCCAAGTGACAGCTTCTCTAGGCTCTCATTCTGTGGAATAAAGGACGTGGTAGGGCTCATGCTCCCCTTCCAAGGATGAATTAATTACTCTTCATTCTTTGAGGCACCATATAATGAATCAACAAGCCATTGTTAAGGGCTTGCTTTGTGCCAAGCTGCAGGCTAGGTGTTGGGAATATAAAGAGTAAAAGGAAGTAGTCCTTGCGCTCAAGGAGCTTACATTCTATTAAGGAAAACAACCTGAAATGTATCATGGCACCCTCACATATACATGATAAATGCAAAATAAATTCAAGATAACTAGGGAGGGAGGGCATAGGGGATCAAGAAAAGCTTAGTGTAGAAGATGGTGCTTGAGCAGAATCTCTTAAAGCTAGGAAGAGTTTCTACAAACTAGAGGATGACGAGACAGTGCACCCCAGCCCTGTGGGATGGTCAGTGCAGGGGCATGAAGACAGATGGAGCACTGCATGTGACAAGCTGCAAGAAGGCCAGTTTGGCTGGCCCGTGGAATGTAGAACTACAGAGAGTCACTTCTAAGGAGACCAAAAGGTTAAGTAGGGGCCAGGTTGTTAAAGATTGTACAAGCTCACCCACCACCCGTATGACCTTGAGAAAGTAATTTCTTCTTTCCCAGCTTCAATTTCTTCCTTTGGAAAATGAGATAGTGAAATTAGGTGATCTAAGGTCCCTTCCAGTTCTAAATCTTATGACCTACCTATCATGCTCCAGGCTTTCTAGTGACTGTGTAAAATGCTAGTGACTGTGTAAAAGCCGTTCCCAATCACGAAGCTCCCCAGAAGACTATTAGAAGCTCCTGTTGAGGTTACTGGAGGATATCACTGAAAACAACATGAAAGCCTCCATTTCAATGGAAGGAGCCAGATTTCTCTGCAGCCAGGCGTGGTATCCTGGCACTGAATCAGAGATCAGGGAATAATCCATGAGTTATATTGCTACAGAGGCCAGGATGGGTGACTTTTTAGGCCTTTGGGCTGCATTTACTCAACAGTCCTGCTGTGTAGGGCTCTCATGGCGAGGTAAACATTAGATTCCTGTGGATTCCTATTGAGTGTTGCAACTGGGGTCACTGATGTTGGCTCTATTGCTGTGTGGACTCTGCCCCGAAGGGAGCCTAGTGGGGATACAAGGAGTACTCAAACAAGTTACCCAAGGAAACAGGGAGGAAGGAGGAAGAAAGAGAGAAAGGGACATATTGGGTAGGAGAAGGGAAGTTGGGGCCCTTGGCAAGGTACAATAAAATGTGGATTGGTAGTCTGGAGATCTGGATTTCAGTCCTGCCTCTGCAGAGTGAATTTAGGCAGTTACTTTCCCTCTCTAGGACCTAATTTCCTCACCTGTAAAAATAAATTAATTAATCTATGGATAGATAGATAAATAGACAAATAAATGAATGAATAAATAAATAGATGAAAGGGAGAGTTAGACTAGAAGGTCTTTAAAGTCACCTCTAAGGGCAGCTAGGCGGCACAGTGGATAGAGTGCCAGACCTGAGTTCAAATGTGACCTCAGATACTTACTATCTATGTGACCCTGGGCAAGTCACTTGATTCTGTTTGCCTCAGTTTCCTCATCTGTTAAATGAGCTGGAGAAGGAAATGGCAAACCACTCTAGTATCTTTGCCAAGAAAACCCCAAATGGGGTCACGGAGAGTCTGATGGGACCAATGGACAAGACAACAAGGTTACCACTGGCTCTGATAGTCTTTGCTGTCAGGGCCCTCCCACCTCTAATCTTCTAGCTCCCAACTCAGTAAGCCCCCTGGGGAAGATTCTTCCCTTTGCTTCATTCATGGCGGAGTCTGACCAGTGAGAAATAAATGTGATCAGTTGTCAAAGGACCCCTGTTAGGCAAGGTCTATAGCAATAGTGACCAGTCTGGCCCCTGAGCAGGCCCAAGGGCTCTGGGCAGGACCCCTGGGAGGTCAGCACCATTGCACGTGGGCTGATGCTGATTGTCACTGTGGGATGCCCTGGCCTCCCTCCAGCTTGCCAGTTTCCATGGCACCCGTCACCATGGTACCTTCAGTCCAGAGGAAGAGATGGGGAAGGCACTTACCGACAAAGCTGCTACTCCCCCTCCCCCATTCCCTTCTATCCTCCCGGGAGCATTGCGTCACCCTCCCCCTACCATCTCTGAAGATGGTAAAGCAGTTGGGAGGAACAGTCCCATCCTAGTCAATGGGCTGAGCATGGGAAAGGGAGTGACTGCCCTGTTGTGAATCCTCCAGTAGCTGCTACTGTCTTATAGGATTACAGCACGTAGGGCCGAAACGTATAGAATACCATATCTGGAAGGAACCTTAGGGACCATCTAGTCCAATACGTTTGGCCTTGGGCTGCATTTACTCATCAGTCCTGCTGTGTAGGGCTTTCATGGCAAGGTAAACATTAGATCCCTGTGGATTCCTACTGGGTGTTAACTGGGGTCATGGAAGCAACTGGGGTCACTGAGGTTGGCTCTATTTCTGTGTGGACTCTGCCCTGAAGGGAGCCTAGTGAGGATACAAGGAGTACTCAAACAAATTACCCAAGGAAACAGGGAGGAAGAAGGAAGAAAGGTGAATGGATGTCCAGAGAGGGAAAGGGACTGAACTAAAGTCATACAGGGAGTCAGTGGCAGAACCCAGATTTCTCCCGATCCAGTGCTCAGAATTTCCAGTAGGATCGACAGCCACTGTATACAATGAGAAGTTACTAAATAGTCAGATGCATTTGAGCAACTGGGTGCTCAAGACTTGATCAGAATCAATTAGTTCTTAAATGTGAGCTATTATTATTTTCAGGGAAGATTTTCTGGAGGCATTGAGCTTTTGAGGGGAAGGATATGGATGGATCAGGAGACAGACTTGTGGGTAGAAAAGTGGGGAAGGAGATACAGACACACATACATTATACATGTATGTATGTATGAATTCATTGGGTATCCACGTAATATCCTAGACTCATAGAAACAGGGCTAGAAGGGACTATATATAGAGGTCATCTAGTTGGCGGTGGGGCCTTGGGCAAATCAGTTCTTTCTGGGACTTAGTTCTCTAATCTGAAAAATGAGATTGTTGGAATAAGTGATCACTAAGGTCCCTCCCAGGAGTGACATTCTAGTCTATGACATTTTAGACTAGTCTATGACATATTGGTCTATGATACATTCTTCTTCATAGTAGACTCAAGAACATGTTTCTTCAGGCTAATTGTATTTTTCTTCTCTGATATCCTGCCTCCTCCAGGAAGATTTCCCAGATTACATTTTATCTACCTCTAGTTTCCTTTTGAGTTAAACTCCATAACTTCTGGAGCCTGTCGCTTAATAAATATTCTCAACTTTACCGGATGGGTATGCATATAAGTTCCTCTTTTTCTTCCTGATTAGACTTGGAACTCTCTGAGGGGTGAGACTAAGTCTCCGAGTTCCTCTCTATCCTCTCTCCTAAGAATACTTAGCACAAGGCTGTGTTCAAAGCAGGTGCTCTATAGTTGCTTAGTGACCGATTCCACCCATGCCTTTCATGGGAAATAGCAATCAAGCCCTTACCTCTCTCTGTGACTGGTTCTTCTTTGAGGCTTCTGGCCTAAAGAAGAAAAGAAAGAAGATGCAGTCAAGTTCAAAATAAAATTTATTTTATTTTTCTGACCTGCCACACTTGAGGGGGTGCCAGGGAAGAGTATTGCACCAGCTTAGGGTATGTGAAGCAGTAAAGTACAGTGACAAGAGCCTCAGAGTCAAGAGACCTGGGTCTCATCCCAATTCTGACACTGAATTGTTCTGGTGTCTTGGACATGTCACTTAATTTTGCTAGATCACAGTTTCTTCCTCTATAATAGGGGCATAATCATCACTACACAAAAGGTTAGAAAGTAGATATAGGCTGTCAAAGTTGTAAAGAACTTTAGACATGGGGCATGTCCCCATCTGGGACAGTACTCTAATTTTACAGAGGAAGAAACCGAGGCTCAGGGGGTCACACAACCAGCCAGTGACTGGTTAGAATACATACTTTATAACACCCAGTATAATTCTTTGAGTACTACTTGTCATTTCCTTTCATCTCAGAATATTGCATATTTTAAAGTTTTTTGTCTTTGTTCTTTTGTTTCCAGGGGCAGATGACCTCCCTCCATGGTTTGAAGTAAAAGGTAAAATCTTGCTCTCTTTTCTTGAGAGTGGGGAGGTGCAGTGACAAGGTGTTAATTCTCCCTCTCCACCTTTGTCAGACAGGGGTGGGCCTCCTGAGGATGGAGCCTGGAGAAGCATGTGTCCAGGCTAGGGTGTTGAGGCCTTGGGTCAAGGATTTTGGGAAATGTATTGGGCCCAGTGGTAGAAACTTTTTCCTGGGAAGAAGGCAGGCATGTTAAGGAAAAAGCAAACTCCTTGTTAGGGTGGGGTACCCCAGCACCCGAGACATACAAACCTGGCCAAACATCGTCTTGGACCTAGATGGAGGAAAAGAAAATAGGCAATGTTAGCTTTCGGCCCAGGCCAGTGTCCCAATGGCTTTAGAACCCTTCTAGGGAATGGCAAAGTGTGATGGTAGCTGCTGGGCCCATGCTCTGGAGCACTCCCAGCTCTAGGTACTGCTAAAGAGAATCTTGGGCAGGGACCCTGGGAGGCTGCAGATGCGCACCCCCAGCTGGCACTAAAAAAAAAAGCCAAATGTACCCCAATTCACCTAGTAATCCCCCACAGCTAGGACTAGGGCCAGTTCTCTGACTATGATAAAGACTCACTGGTTTCTTTACACCACACAAGGCTGTGTTCATACATCCTTCCCACCCATCCGAGGCCATACTACTCTCCATAATTGCTTTTCCACTTCAGAACTACTTTTGGATGCTGATACACCCCGGGGGAGGGAGACTAAGGAAGAACACACAATGGGATTTTCCCCCAACACTGATGGGATAATAGCATCTTAAGACTCAAAGCACTTTACAAGTATTATGTCTTTTGATTCTCACAACATAGACTGGCAAGTAGGTGATTTTATAATCCTCATTTTACAGATGAGGAAACTGAGGCCCAGAGGTGTTAAGTGGCCTGCCCAGGGTCACACAGCTAGCAAGTGTCTGATGCTGAATTTGCACTCAGGTCTTCCTGACTCCAAATTCAGAGGTCTATCCACTACACCACCTAGCTGCCTCATAGACACTTGCCTTCCTTTAGAGAGACAATTAGGAGAAAAGAAAGAGCCCTATAGATGGGAATCAAAGGAACTGGGGTTAGGTTTTAGGGTTGTTAGTGGGGCCTTTGCTCCCCCCCCTTTTTTTTTTCTTAAAATGAGGAAGTTTGACTGAGTGATCTATAAGAATGCTTCTAGTTCTTCCATTTTGTGTTCTATGTGTCCTTGCAAGTTGACATTCTATGCTCTAGGTAATCTTTTGTTCTTTATCTAGACACAGTATGGCAGAGTAGACAGAATGCTGGCCACTTGGGAGTCAAAAAGACCTGGGTTCAGATCCCATTTTGGACACTTACTATCTAGTAGATCATGGTCAAGGTAACCTGTCAAGGGGCCTCACTTTTCTCATCTGTAAAATGGGCATAATAATCCTTGCCCAACTCTCATCTCACAGGTGTTGTGAGTGAGCTTCTGCTACTGTGAAGGTCAAATGAGATCATAGCTTTAGAGCTGGAAGGGACCTTTAAGGTTGTTTACCTCAACCCTCTCATTTTACAGATGAGGCTATGGAGACATAGGTTAAGAGATTTGTTCAAGGTCACATAGTGACAAGTGGCAGAGCTGCGCTTTGTACCGTTGTCTTTTTTTTATTCTAAATAATATTCCCCTCTCCCCAATTATGTGTAAAAGTAATTTTTAGCGTTCATTTTTACAAGATTTTTGAATTGCAAAATTTTCTCCGCCCCTCCTAACGCGTGACTTTTGACTCCAAATCTGGCATCTTTTCCTGCACAACAATGAGACGATATGTGTCCAGGTAGGTAGTGGATAGAGAGTTGCCCGGGGTGTTAGGAGGCCTGGGTTGGCGTCCTGCCTCTGTCACGTCCTGCCGGTGTGAGCCTGGGCAGGTAAATCGGGCCCCAGGGCTGTAAATTGCAGAGAAGGTGCCGCTGGGCGTTGGTAGTAGAAAGCCCCGCCTCAGAGCTCCCTACATGGACAGAACCGCAAGTTTGATCCCTCCACCCCCAAAAGACAGGGGATCTGCCCAGGTGAGAGGAGTCCCTCTATCGCCAACAGCGCTGTGCTCTCCCCCTCATCTATACCGCGACTCACAATGTTTCATCCCCAACATCGAACCTTCTGGGACCCCAGAAAAATCAGTGGTCACCTTTCTGCCTCTTGAAGTAGCAGCAGAGGACTAAGAGGACGAGGATGAGGAACACGGATCCGGCCGTAGCAGCTATGAGGACGCCCGACGATCTTTGGCTTTGTACTGAAATGGGAGGCAGGAAACAGTCAGTCACCAAGCATTCATTAAGTGCCGATTACGTGTCCAGCACTGTAGTAAGCACTGTGGATGCCAGTACAAGCAAAAGAGAAAGATAGGCGATTACATTCTAGTGAGTGAAGATCACGCTTAAAAGGAAGCTGAGAAGCCCGTGTGTGTGTGTGTGTGTGTGTGTGTGTGTGTTGTGTGCAGTAAGTCCTGATGCAGCCTGGTAGAAGTGAAATGAAATAAACTGTTGTGTACTATGGGTACTTCTGGAAACCCAGCCCAAATTCCATTTTAGGCTGCATGAATCCATTCATCCATTTATTTAATAAATGCCTACCCTTTGTCAGGCACTTACCTCAGAATTCAAAGATTAAAACCAAAACAGTTCCTACCTTCAAAAAGCCTAAATTCTATTAGAGGAGGCAACAACATTTACATGGACCATTAAGTGCAGAATATATTTCAAGCATTTCAGGGGGAGGACAGTAGCAACTAGAAAGTTCAGAACATGCTTCCTGGAAGAGGCGGCCCTTGAATTGAGCTTTGAAAGAAGCTGTGGATTCCGTGAAGTGGAGGGAAGGAGGGAACAGCCTATACGAAGATCCAGAAGTAAGAGATGGAAAGTCATAAATGGGGGAAAATCATCAGGTCAGGCTGTTTGAATAGTCTGGTATCTAGGACTAGGGAGCTAACAGTCCCACTCAGAACGGATCTGAGGTTCTGTCTTTAATTGTGGGCACCACATTTTAGGAAGAAGATTCATAAGCTGGGACATCTGCAGAGAAGGCGAACTACAGGCTTCTGAAAAGCCTCAAGACCATACTATATGAAGATTAGGTTAAAAAGAGAGAGAGAGAGAGGGAGAGAGAGAGAGAGAGAGAGAGAGAGAAGAGAGAGAGAGAGAGAGAGAGAGAGAGAGAGAGAGAGAGAAGGTGTTTAACTTTAAGAAAAGGAGACTGAGATGGGGGAGGAGACAATATCATTATTTTTAGATGTCTGAAGAGCTGTCATGGCACAGAAGGAACAGATTTATTCTATTTGATAAAAGAAGTGGGGGGGGCAGGTAGGTGGCAGCTAGGTGGTGCAGTAGATAGACCACTGGCCCTGAAGTCAGGAGGACCTGAGTTCAAATCCCGCCTCAGACCAAACACTCGATACTTATTAGCTGTGTAACCCTGGGCAAGTCACTTAACCCCAATTGCCTAAAAAAATAAATAAATAAAAGGGAGGATTAGGACCAATGGAAACAAGTTTGGGGTAGATTTGGGCTAACGCTAAACATAAGGAATAACTTCTGAACAATGGGATCATAGATCTAGAGCTGAAAAGGCCATTAAGTCTTAACCCCTTCATTAAAACAAAATGACATTTTATTTTTTCCCAAATTACATGTTAAAACAATTTTAAACAATTTTCGAAAAGTTTTGAGTTCCAAATCCTATCCTTCCTTTCCTTCCTGCCCCCCACCAGGATAGGAAGCAATCTGACATAGATTATACATGTGCGATCATGTAAAACATTACCATATTATTCATTTTGTACAAGAAGACTCAAAAAAAAAGAGTGAAAAGGTTGTCTGTATTCAGACAACATCAGTTTTTTCTCTGGAGGTGAATAGCATGTTTCATTAGGAGTCTTTTGGATTGTCTTAGATCATTGTATTGCTGAGGATAGCTAAGTCATTCACAGTTGATCATTTTACAACATTGCTGTTACTGTGTACAGTGTTCTCCTGGTTCTTCTCACTTAACTTTGCATCACTTCATGTAAGTCTTTCCAGGTTTTTCTAAAATCATCCTGTTTGTCATTTCTTATAGCACAACAATATTCCATCACAATCATATACCACAGTTTGTTCAGCCATTCCTCAATTGATAGACATCCCCTCAACTTCCACTTCTTAGCTACCACAAAAAATAGCTGCCATAAATGTTTTTGTACAAATAGGTCCTTCCCTTGCCCTTTTAAAAAATGTTTGGGGTACAGAACTAGCAGTAACATTGCTAGATCAAAGGGATGCACAGTTTTATAGCCCTTTGGACATAGTTCCAAATTATTCTCCAGAATGGTTGGATCAGTTTACAATTCCATCAGCAATGCAGTAGTGTCCCAGTTTTCCCACATCCCCCCCAACATTTATCATTTTCATTTTTTGTCATATTAGCCAATCTGATAGGCATGAGGCAGAGTTGTTTTAATTTGCATTTCTCTCATCAATAGTGATTTAGAGCATTTTTTTCATATGACTATAGATAGCTTTAGTTTCTTTGTCTGAAAACTGCCTGTTCATATCTTTTGACCATTTATCAATTGGGGAATGATTTGTATTCTTCTTCTTCTTCTTCTTCTTCTTCTTCTTCTTCTTCTTCTTCTTCTTTTTTTGTAAGGCAACTGGGGTTAAGTGACTTGGTCAGAGTAACACAGCTAGTGAGTGCTATGTGTCTGAGACCAGATTTGAACTCAGGTCCTCCTGACTCCAAAACCAGAGCTCTATCCACTGTGCCACCTAGCTGCCCCAATGATTTATACTCTTATAAAATTGACTCAGTTCTCTATATATTGAGAAATGAGGCCTTTATCAAAGATACTTGTTCCAAACCACCCCCTTCCCCCCCCAGTTTTCTTTTTTGGTTGCACTGGTTTTGTTTGTGCAAACACTTTTTAGTTTTCAACAACCAAAATCATCTATTTTACATTTTGTAATGCTCTTTATGTCTTATTTGGTCCTAAATTCTTCCCTTATCCATAGAACTGACTGATAAACTATTCCATGCTCTCCTAATTTGCTTACAATAGCACCCCTTATGTGTAAATCATGTACCCATTTTGATGTTATGTTGGCATATGGTGTGAGATGCTGGTCTACACTTAGTTTCTGCCATACTATTTTCTAGTTTTCCCAGAAGTTTTTTTTTTAATCAAATAATGAACTTTTGTTCCAAAAGTTTGGCTCTTTGGTTTTATCATACACTAGATCACTATGGTTATTTACTATAATGCATTATGTATGTAATCTATTCCACTGATCCACCAGAACTATTCTACTTCTTAGTCAGTACCAGCTTGTTTTGATAATTACTACTTCATAATACAGTTTGAGATCTGGTATGGCTACGCCACCTTCCTTCACATTTGTTTTTTTCATTGATTCTGTGGATATCCTTGACCTTTTGTTCTTTCAGATGAATAATGTTATTATTTTTTCTAACTGTATAAAATAATTTTTTTTTGGGTAATTTGATTGGTATGGCACTGAATAAGTAGTTTAGTTAACTAGAACTGTATTTTTTATTATATTGGCATACCCTGTCCATGAGCAATTAATCTTTTTCCAATTGTTTAGATATTTTATTTTTGTAAGAAGTGCTTCGTAATTGTGTTCATATGGTTCCTGGGTTTGTCTTGGCAGGTAGACTCTCAAGCATTTTATATTGTCTACAGTTATTTTAAATGGAATTTCTTTTTCTATCGCTTGCTGCTGGGCTTTGTTGTTAGTATATAGAAATGCTGATGATTTATGGGTTTATTTTGTATCCTGTAACTTTGCTAAAGTTGTTAATTATTTCTACTAGTTTTTTAGTTGATTCTTTAGGATTCTCTAAATGTATCATCATATCATCTGTAAAGAGTGATAGTTTTGTTTCCTCATTATCTATTCTAATTTCTTCAATTAGCTAATGCTAACATTTCCGGTACAATATTGTATAATAGTGGTTATAATGGGCATCCTTGCTTCACCCCTAATTGTATTGGGAAGGTTTCTAGCTTATCCCCATTACAGATAGTGCATGTTGATGGTTTTAGATAAATATTACTTATCATTTTAAGGTAAACTCCATTTATTCCTATGCTTTCTAGTGTTTTTAATAGGAATGGGTATTGTATTTTGTCAAAGCCTTTTTCTGCAACTGTTGAAATAATCATATGATTTCTGTTGGTTTTGTTACCGATATGGTCAATTATGCCAACAGCTTTCCTAATATCGAACCAGCCCTGCATTCTTGGTATAAATGCCACCTGGCTATAGTGTATGATCCTTGTTATATATTGCTGTAATCTCCTTGCTAGTATTTTATTTAAAATCTTTGCATTAATATTCATTAGGGAAATTGGCCTATAATTTTCTTTCTCTGTTTTTGCTCCATAACTGTCTCATAAAAGGATTTTGGTAGAACTCCTTCTTCAGCTATTTTTCCAAATTGTTTATGTAATATTGGGATTAATTGTTTTACAAATGTTTGGTCTAATTTGTTTGTGAATCCATCTGGCCCTGGGGATTTTTTCCTTAGGAAATTTATTGATGACTTGTTAGATTTCTTTTTCTAAGATCGGTTTATTTAAGTGTTCTATTTTTTCTTTTGTTAATCTGGGTAATTTATATTTTTGTAGATATTCATCCATTTCATTTAAATTGTCAAATTCGTTGGCATTTAATTTGGCAAAATAGCTCCTAATAATTGTTTTAATTTCCTCTTCATTGGTGGTGAATTCACTTCTTTCATTTTTGATACTGGTAATTTGGTTTTCTTCTTTCCTTTTTTAAAATCAAATTAACCAATGGTTTGTTTTATTGTTATTGGGGTCTTTTTTTCATAAAACCAGCTTCGTTTTATTTTTTAGTTCAATGTTTTTCTTGTTATCAGTTTTATGAATCTCTCCTTTGATTTTCAGGTTCCAATTTGGTGTTTAATTGGGGATTTTTAATTTGTTCTTTTTCTAGGTTTTTTTAGGGTGTATGCCCAATTTATTGATCTGCTGTTTCTCTATTTTATTGATGTAAGCAATTAAAGATATAAATTTCCCACTAAGTATCACTTTGGCTTCACTCCATAAAATTTGGTATGTTGTCTCATTGTTGTCATTTTCTCTAATGAAATTATAGATTGTTTCTATGATTTGTTCTTTGACCCACTTATTTTTTTAGGATCAGATTATTTAGTTTCCAATTAAATTTTTAACCTATCTTTCCATTGCCATTATTGAACATAATTTTTATTGCATTTAGATCTGAAAAGGATACATTTACTATTTCTGCTTTTCTGCATTTGTTTGTGAGGTTTTTAGAGCCTAATACCTGGTTAATTTTTGTGTAGGTGCCATGCACTGTTGAGAAAAGGCATAGTCCTTTCTATTCCCATTCAATTTCTTCCAGAGAGCTATCTTTTCCAGAATTCTATTCACCCCTTTAACTTCTTTCTTGTTTATTTATTTATTTTTTTGGTTAGATTTATTTAGTTCTGAGAGGGAAAAATTGAGGTCCCCCACTAGTATAGTCTTATTGTCTATTTCCTCCTGTAACTCATTCAATTTCTCCTTCAATAATTTAGATGTTATACCATTTGGTACATATATGTTTAGTATTGTTATTACTTCATTGTCCATGGTACCTTTCAGCAAGATTCAGTTTTCTCCCTTATTTCTTTTAATTAGATCTATTTTTTGTTTTTGCTTTGTTTGAGATAATGATCGCTACCCCTGCTTTTTTTTTTTTTTTTGCTTTAGCTGAAGCATAATAGATTCTGCTCCAGCTCCTTATCTTTACTCTGGGTGTGTTTCTGTGCTTCAAATATGTTTCTTATAAATAACATATTATATGATTCTGGGTTTTAATCCATTCTGCTATCCACTTCCATTTTATTTCCCTCCATTCTATTTTCCCCTTGTTTATTCTTCCCTCACTTACCTTCACCCTGTCCATCTTCACAAGTGTTTTACTTCTGATCACTGTCTCCCCCAATCCTCCCTCCTTTTTTATCAATTTTCCCTCAACCTCTTATTCCCATCCCTTTTTACTTCCTTATCAGGTAAGAGATTTCTCTGTCCAACTGAGTATATATTATTGCCTCTTTGAGCCAATTCTAATGAGAGTAAGGTTCAAGCTTTACCTCCCCCATCTTACCCTCCATTATAATAACTCTTTCATTCCTCTTTTTTTGTGAGATAATTTATCCCATTCTATCTTCCCCCTCCTTCTTCTTCCAGTGCAATCTTCTTTCTCACTTCTTTATTTTGCTTTTTTGGGTGTCATCCCATCAAAGTCACCTCATATCCATACCCTCTCTCTACATTTACTCCTTCTGATTGCTTTTATAGTAATAAAGTTCTTAAGAGTTACAGATATCTTGCCATGTAGGAATACAAACAGTTTAATTTTATTGAATCTCTTTGCTTTCTCTTTCTTGTTTCTTTTTTGTGTTTCCCTTGATTCTTGTATTTGAAGATTAATTTTTTTTTTATTCAGCTCTGGTCTGGAATAGTCAGGTCTGTAATGCTTGAGAAAGTCCTCTGTTTTGAGATCAAGATGGCGATATGGGTAACTGTAGCATCAAGTTGATGGCTTCGGAGTCTTTGAAAATGCTATTACAATGCTGCAGAATTCAACAAACTTGGGTTAATGCATGATGACATACTTTATGAAGATGAAGAGGCCATGAGGAGGCTTCCAGAGAATCTGTATAATGATTGAATGTTTTGTATGAAGAGAGCTCTGGACCTGACCATGAGGCAGCAGATTTTGCCTACAAACCAGTAGACAAAATATGAAGAGGACAAATTATACCTTCAACCATATCTGAAGGAGGTTATACATGAAAGAAAAGAGAGAGAAAAATGGGATAAGAAGTAATCATGTCAAAAGAATCTATCAATATGTTAAGTCTTCAAAATATTTTTTAATAAGTATGATTGTGCAAAGGTTATCTAACCATTTGTAACTGTGTGTTACAAATTTATTTGATTTAAATAAATGGCTATCGTAAGAAAAAAAAAAAGAAAGTCCTCTATTTCATTAACTATCCATTTTTTCCCCTGAAGGATTATATTCAGTTTTGTTAGGTATGTGATTCTTGGTTGTAATCCTAAATCCTTTGCCTTCTGGAATATCACAGTCAAAGCCCTCCATTTCTTTAATGTGAAAGTTGCCAAATCCTGTGTAATCCTGACTGTAGCTCCATGATATTTGAATTGTTTCTTTTTGGCTGCAGTACTTTCTCCTTGACCTGGGAGCTCTAGAATTTGGCTATGATGTTCCTAGTAGTTTTCATTCTGGGATCTCTTTCAGATGAATCTGAATTCAGGTGATCAATGAATTCTTTTAATTTCTATTTTGCCTCTGTTTCAGGGCAATTTTCCTTGATAATTTCTTGGAAGATGTTGTCTAGGATTTTTTTCCTCCTTTATCATGGCTTTCAGGTAGTCCAATAATTCTTAAATTATCTCTTCTGGATATATTTTCCAGGGCACTTGTTTTTCCAATGAGAACTTTCACTTTTCTCCTATTTTTTTTTATTCTTTTGATTTTGTTTTATCATATCTTGATGTCTCATGGAGTCATTAATTTCCACTTGTCCAATTCTAATTTTTAAGGAATTATTTTCTTCGGTGAGCTTTTGTACCTCCTTTTCCATTTGGCCAATTCTATTTTTAAGGAGTTATTTTCTTCAGTGAATTTTTGTATATCTTTTCCCATGCTGTTGACTTTTTTTCATGATTCTCTTGCACTATTCATTTCTCAATTTTTCTTATTCTTCTCTAATTTGCTTTTAAAGATCCTTTTCAAGCTCTTCCAGGAATCTTTTTGGGCCTGAGACCAAATTACATTTTGCTTTGAGGCTTCACATGTAGCCATTTGGACACTTGTCCTATTCTAAGTTTGTGCCTCAATCCTCCCTGTCACCATAGTAACTTTCTGTAGTCGAGTTCTCTTTTTAAATTTTTTTTTGCTCATTTTCCTGCCTATTTTGCGACTTCAAATTTTTATGTGAGAATTGGGCTCTGTTCCTGCACTGTCCCAGGCTTCTTGTTCTGGAGCTCAGGATCTTGATACTGGCTTTCACTGGGCCTCAGGGCCTAGTTGCTGGCTTGCACTGTAGGGGAAGCCTCTTTGTTGGCCTTCCCCAGTTGTAAGGTTTTGCTGCTATCCACCCCAGGGGCAGGGCCTTGCTGCTGGGTTGTCATAAAAATAGGGCCTCTCTGCTGGCTGGCCTTGAAGGAGGGATTTTGCTGCTGCCTGACCCCAGAGGTGGGGCCTCCCTACTGGTCAACAGTGGGGGCGAGGCCTTGCTGGTGGCCTGTGATGAGGGTGGGGGGCCTTGCTGGTGGATTGCTCCAGGCTTGGAGCCTTGCTGTAGGCCCCCTGCTGTGAGGTTGGCTGCTGTATAGGACCTTGCTCTGCTCCCACCCCAGTAAGACAGAGCTTTCCTGCTAGGCTGGTAAGATGCTTCCCTGCTTCTAAATCTGTTCTGAGGCGGTTTTTAAGTTGTTTGGAGGGGAATTTGGAAGGGCTTTAGAGGGTTCCTTCCTCACTCTCCCGTCTTGGCACCTAAAGTCCTACTCACTTTACAGATGGGGAAACTGAGACTCAAAAAGGTAACTTGCCCAAAGTTAAACAGCTAATAAAGGTTGGAGGAAGAATTTGAAGTTTGGTCTTTCCTTTTCAAGTCCATGACTCAGTGGAGCCAGGAACCTGAGTTTGCATCCACTTTTTAAAAAATAATATTTTATTTTTTCCCCAATAACATGTCAAGTTAATTTTTAACATTCCATTTTTAAAAATTTTGAGTTCCAAATTTTCTCCCTTCCTCTCTCGCCTCCTCCCTCCCTAAGACATTAAGCAATATGATTATAGGTTATATACATGCAATCATGAATTCAGCTCTTCTTGATTCCGTCTGTAACACTCTCTATCCACTACATCAGCTAGGTGGCACATTGGATAAAGTGTTGGGCCTGGAGTCAAGAGGACCTAAATTCAAATCCAGTCTGAGATTTACTTACTAGCTGTGTGACTCTGGGCAAGTCTCTTAGTCTTTGTCTGCCTCAGTTTCCTCATCTCTAAAATGAAGGTAATGATAGTACCTATCTCCCAGGGTTGTTGTGAGAATCAAACGAGATCATATTTATAAAGCACTTAGCACATTGTCTGGCATAGAGTAGGCCCTTCTTAGATATTTGTCCCTCCTTTCCTGAGGTCATACAGGTAGGAAATAGCAGAGCTAGGTTTGGGATGTTGGCTCTCCTAGTCCAAATCTGGTGCTCTTTCTCCTGTACTCCTTTGCGTTCCTTTGGTTTGTACTTACAAATGAGGTGGGTGCCACCCCCAGAGCTGACTTCATCTTCAGGGTTCTTCTGGAACTTGATACAGTAGTAGACTCCTTCATCCTGGCTGGTGATGTTGATTATGCGGATGTCAAAGACACGATTTGTGTTCTCCACCCGTTGGACCCGGGGGCACGACTCTTTGTCACTGTAGATGAGCTCCCTGTTAGGCTCAGTTCCCTTATACCATCTCACTGGCCCAGCAATGAGGTTGGTTTTCGATCTGCATTGCAGTATTGCTGAACCTCCAATGGTTGCTGTCACTTGTCTTGAGGGCTGCTCTACGGACACGTCTTGACTATCTGAGAAAGAAAATAATCCAAGAGAGATTAGCTTGGGGAGCAGAGGGAGGGGAAGAAGAGGGGCAAGATTTTCCATTCCATTTTAGAGGTGGCTCTAGTGTATTGACAAGAGCTTTGGCTGAGGAATCATAAGACTTGGGATAGATTCTGGGTCTACTACCACTGACCAGGGCAGCAGTATGGCACAGTGGAAAGGGGATTGGATTTTTAAAGTGAGAGGACCCTGGTTCAAGTCTTGGCTCAGCTATTTACTATCAGGGTCACCTGGGGCAAGTCATAATACCTATTTAGGCCTCTAGGCCATCTTCCTTATTTGCAAAAATGAGGGAATTGGACCAGATGAGCTCTAAGGTCCCTCCCAGCTCTAAATCTATGCTCTCATGTTTTGGGGAAGTACCCTCTCTAGACTTCTGTTTTTTCATCTATAGAATGGATTCATTGGGATTAGACCACTTTAAGTTCCTGTCTAGCTCTGACCTTCTGTGTCCTGTGTTCCAATGTTCCTTCCAGCTCTGGCATTCTATACTCCAATGTGCTTTCTAGTTATAACAGTAATTCTGAGAGCCTAAGATGAACCTAAGATTCTATGCTTCTGTGGCAGGCCCATCCGACTTATCAATTCTGTCTCAGAGATTTTTATTAATATTAAACCCCTTAAGGAGAGACGGATTTGGTGATTCTTTGAGGCTTGGGTTTGGACCTGCCTCTGAGGTGGTCATAAGCTCCCCTGCTATGACGAACAAGGAAAAGTTGAAAAACTTGCCCTGATTTGTGTCTGTAGATAGAGCAGCTGCAGGAGAGAAATGATTTCCACAGAGATGATTTTTTTAAACTTTAAACTAGGATGACCTCTGGCAGCCTAGCCCTTGGCTTCTCCTTTTTTCTGTCTCTTTCTATAGTTGGACCATATGGTTTCTAAGATGCCTTCTGATGGTCTAGAAACTCAAGTCACTGCTAAGTAAACTAAGGGTACTTACTAATCCTTCACAATGGTAAAATACTCAAGCCACAGAATGTCAGAGATTTGGAGGTTCCTTAGAATACAGAATGTCAGGCCTGAAAGAGGCCATAGAACACAGAATGTCAGAGTGAGGAGGAGCCTTAGAACAGAATATCAGAGCTGGATAAGGCCTTAGAATATGGAACATTGGCCTGGAAGAGGCCTTAGGAAATGGAATAACAGGCCTGCAAGTTCCTCAAGAATATAACGTTAGAACTGGAAGACACTAGACAGATCTGACTCCCTTACTTTACAGAGGAGGGAATCCACTGAAGCCCACAGAGAAAGTGACTTGCTCAAGGTCACATAGAGTTAACTGCTGGACTAGACTCCTACTAGACCTCTCCACCTACAAACCAGTACTTCTTCCATTAATAGCACAGAACATCGTGGAGGCATAGAATTTTGTAACTGTAAGGTTCCTAACAAAAATACAGGAAGAATCTGTGTCAGGATAAGGCACTCCTTGTAGGTAAACTCCTTCTAGCAATCAGCCTACAACTTAGTAGACTATTACTTAGTAATCTAATAAATTCTAAGGAATTGCCCGAAACACACAAAGATAGAGTAACCAGCATTGGTTTGCAGTGTTAATAAGTATCAGAGGCAGGCTCTATTCACTACACTAAATTGCTTATAAGGAGTAGGAATTAGCTCACATTTATAACTCACATTCCTGTGTTGCTTTCAAGTTTACAAAAGGCTTTTCTCTAGGGGCAGCTAGGTGGCACAGTGGATAGAGCTCCGGCCTTGGAGTCTGGAGGACTTGAGTTCAAATTCGTCCCCAGACACTTGACACTTAACTAGCTGTGTGACCCTGGACAAGTCACTTAACCCTGATGGCCTCACCAAAAAAGAAAAAGAAAAACAAACAAACAAAAAAAACCAAAGGGCTTTCCTCTCATCAGTTGCATGAGGTAGGGAGTTTATTTTTATCTTCACTTTACAGATGAGAAAACTAAGCCCCAGGGAAGGGAAGTGACTCATCCATGAACACTATAGCTAGAAGGATTAACCAATCAATCAGTATTTATTAAGTGCCTATGTGCCAGACATTGTGCTGAATGGTGGATCAGAGGTTGGCCTAGAATGGCTCCCAGGTAATTCTCCAGACTATCTTATAATCAATTACTGAAATCATAATAAAATGAAAAAAGGAAGTAAGCAAGTTTTTTTTATTTTTAACTTTCGTTTTAAAAAATTTTGAGTTTCAAATTCTCTTCCTCCTTCCTCTCCCCCACTCATTGAGAAAGCAAGCTATATGATACTCATTGTACATGTGGAGTCATGCAAAACCATACTTCCATATTAGCCATGCTGGAAAAAAAAACAAGAAAAAGAAAGTGAAAGAAAATATGTTTCAATCTGTACTCAGAATTCATCAATTCTTTCTCTGGAGGTGGATAGCATTTTTCATCCTGAGTCTTTTGGAATTGTCTTGGATCTTTCATAGTTAATCATTGTTAAAATATTGCTGTTACTGTGTACAATGTTCTTCTGGTTCTGACACTCCATCAGTTTCTGCATCAGTTGCATGTAAATCTCAGGTTTTTCTGAAACCACCCTTCTTGTCATTTTTTATAGCACAATAGAGTTCCATCACAATTATATGCCATTCCCCAGGTGATGGTCATCCCCTCAATTTCTAATTCTTCACCACCACTAAAAGAGCTACTATAAAATTTTTTTTTGTACGTATAAGTTCTTTTCCTTTTTGTTTGTTATCTCTTTGGGATGCAAACCTATTGCTGGATCAAAGGGTATATTTAATATATACACCGTTTTATAGTCCTTTGGGCATAGTTTCAAATTATTCCCCAGAATGATTGGATCAGTTCAGAACTCCAACAACAATGCATTAATGTCCCAATTTTCCCACATCCCCTCCAACATTTATCATTTTCCTTTTCTGAAATATTAGCTGATCTGATATATGTGAGGTAGCACTGGAAAGTTCCATTTCTCTAATCAATAGTGATTTAGAGCATTTTTTTCATATGATGATAGATAGCTTTGATTTCTCTATCTGAAAACTATCTGTTCATATCCTTTGACCATTTATCAATTGGGAAATGGTCCTTATTTTTATAAATTTGGCTCAATTCCCTATATATTTGAGAAATGAGCCCTTTATCAGAAAAAAAAAACCTGCTGTGAAAAATTTCTCCCCAGTTTCCTGCTTTCCTTCTAACTTTGGCTGTATTGGTTTTCTTTGTGCAAAAACTTTTCAATTTTATGTAATCAAAATTATACATTTTATGTCCTATGATCATCTCTGTCTCTTTTTTGGTCATAAACTCTTCTCTTATCCATAGATTTTTCCATGGTCCTCTAATATGCTTATGGTATCACCCTTTATGTCTAAATCATATACTCATATTGACTTTAACTTGGTATATGGTGTCAGATGATGGTCGATGCCTAGTTTCTGCTAAACTTTTCCACTTTTCTCAGCAGTTTTTGTCAAATAGTGAGTTCTTGCCCCCGAAGCTTGGATCTTTGGGTTTGTCAAATACTAGATTACTATGGTCATTTACTACTTTATATTGGGTATCTGATCTATTCCACTGATCCACCACTCTATTTCTTAGTACCAGATTATTTTGAGGATTTTCACTTTGTAATACAGTTTGAGATATGGTACTGCTAGGCCACCTTATTAAAAAATTGCTATTTCTTGATCTTATGTTCCTCCAAATGACTTTTGTTATTTTTTTCTGCATAAACAGAACTGAGTAAGTAAATTAATTTAGGGAGAATTGTGAGGGTGGTAACAGGATTTTACAGAAAATTTTTCTGATGATGGTTTGATATTCAAGATGTGTAGGGAAGTAGCATAAATATATAAGGACAATAGTCATTCCCCAATAGATAGGAACAGGAAGTTCTCTAGGGAAGAAATCTAAGCTATCAACAACCATATACAAAATTACCAATCACTAATAATAAAAGAAATGCACACCAAAATATCACTGAGATTCTAACTCACACTCATCAGGTTAACAATGACAATTTTTAGATGGGCTATGGGAGGACAAGCACACTAATGCACTGTTGGTGGAGCTGTGAAATGGTTTGATCATTCTGGAAAACAATTTGGAACTATTCCCCAAAAGTCACTAAGCTGTACATGCCTTTTGACCCATAGAGAGGATTGCTAGGCACATATCCCCAAAGAGATCAAAGACAGAGTGAAAAGATAGCAGTTTTTATTGCAGCAAAGAACTAGAAACAAAGAGAGTGCCTGTCAGATGAAGAATGGCTGAATAAATCTTGGTATGTGAATGTAATGGACTATTATTGCATATAAGAAATGACCAAAGGGACAGATTCAGAGTACCCTGAGAAGACTTGCATGAATTGATGCAAGTAATCAGAATCCAGAGAACAATTTATGTACCACAACATTGTGAAGAAAAACAACTTTGAAAGACTTAGAACTCTCACCACTAATGAAGATGAAATTAAAGAAATTATTAGGAGCTATTTTGTTCAATTACATACCACTAAATTTAACAATCTAAATAAAATGGATGAATATTTACAAAAATATAAATTTTCCAGGTTAACAGAAGAGGAAATAGAATACTTAAACAAAACCTTGTCTTAGAAAAAGAAATCAAACAAGCCATCGATGAGCTAAGAAAAAATCGCCATGACCAGATAGATGATTTCACAAGTGAATTCTACCAAACATTTAAAGAACAATTAATTCTAATACTATCTAAACTATTTGGAAGAACAGACAATGAAGTAGTTCTATCAAATTCCTTTTATGACACAAATATGGTGCTGATACTTAAACCAGGAAGAGCAAAAACAGAGAAAGAAAACTTATAGATCAATTTCCTCTGATGCAAAATTTTAAATAAAATATTAGAAAAGAGATTATAGAAGTTCATCATGAGGAAAATACGCTATAACCAGGTGGGATTTATACCAAGAATGCAGGGCTAGTTCAATATTAGGAAAGCAACCATCATAATTGACCATATCAACAATGAAACTAACACAAATCAAATGATTATCTAAGTAGATACAGAAAAAGCTTTTGACAAAATACAGCACCCATTCCTATTAAAAGTACTAGAGATCATAGGAATAAATGATATTTTCCTTAAAATGATAAGTAATATCTATCTAAAACCATCAGCAAGTATTATATGCAATGGGGATAAGCTAGAAGTTTTCCTAATAAGATCGGGGGGAAACAAGGATGCTTATTATCGCCACTATTATACAATATTATAATAGAAATGTCAGCTATAGCAATAAGAGGAAAAAAAAGAAATTGAAGGAATTAGAATAGGCAATGAGGAAACAAAATTATCACTCTTTGCAGATGATATGATGTTATAGTTAGAGAATCCTAGAAAGTTAACTAAAAACCTACTTGAAATAATTAACAACTTTAGCAAGTTTGCAGGATATAATCATCAGCATTTCTGTATATTACCAACAAAACCTAGAAAAAAACAGGAAGAGAAATTAATTCCATTAAAAATAACTGTAGACAGAAGATGACAGAGAAAAGGCAGTGACTTAGCTAAGCTCTCCCCAAAACCTCTCTGGCCTTTAAATGGCCTTTAAATAAGGCCATAAAACAATTCCTGGAGCAGCAGAACCCACAAAAGCACAGGATGAAATAACTTTCCAGCCAAAGACAACTTAGAAGGTAAGCAGGAAAGGTCTGTCATACCTGGGTGAGAGTGGAACACAGTTCAGCATAGGCCACATCAGCGCTGACCCAACCCCAGCAATCCAGGAGAAGATCTTGGGAGTCACTGAATCAGCAGTGGTAGCAACTGCTTCCTGAGCTCTCATCCCACAGACAGGAGGTCAAACAACTGGTCAGAAGGAGATTACAGGGGTCTCTGCTAGCACTGAGGCAGTACTCTGCTGCTTTGCCCATGCTCAGATCTGGGCCACAGTCCTGGGTGGCAGTGTCAGGGCAAGAAGGAGTACTAGCACATCAGAGCTTGTGGCTGCAGTGAAGTGGGGACCTTCCTCACAGTTCCAGGACAGAAAAGAGTGCTTGTGGTCACTCACAGACCAGAGCACAGGTCAGGAGCATAGTAAACACACCTCTCCTTAGATCACACCACCTTGGAAGAACTAAAAACTTACAGGTCCCTAGAGGTATCTCTGAAAACAGCTGCACAAAACCCCTGAAGCTTGGGACAGTGTGCCCTTCACCCTGGAAACACAGCCCTACTTTAACAAGGAGTTAAAAGTCAAGAAATAGGCTGGGAAAATGAGCGAAGAACAGAAAAAAATTCTGACCATAGAAAGTTACTATGGTGACAAGGAAGATCAAAATACACACTCAGAAGAAGATAACAAAGTCAAAATTCCTACATCCAAAGCCTCCAAGGAAAAATATGAATTGGTCTCAGGCCAAAAAGGATTTTGAGAAGCAAGTAAGAGAAATAGAGGAAAAACTGGGAAGAAAAATGAGAGTGATGCAAGAAAATCATGAAAAACAAGTCAACAGCTTGCTAAAGGAGACCCCCCCAAAATACTGAAAAAAATAACACCTTAAAAACCAGACTAGGCCAAATGGTAAAAGAAGTACAAAAAGCCAATGAGGAGAAGAATTCCTTAAAAAGCAGAATTGGCCAAATGGAAAAAGAGGCAGAAAAATCCACTGAAGAAAAAAAAAACTCCTTGAAAAGTAAAATTGTCCAAATGGAAAAGGAGGTACAAAAGCTCATTGAAGAAAATAATTCCTAAAAAATTAGAATTGAGCAAATGGAAGCTAATGACTTTATAAGAAATCAACAAACAATAAAACAAAACCAAAGGAATGAAAAAATATAAGACAATGTGAAATATCTCATTGGAAAAACAACTGACCTGGAAAATAGATCCAGGAAAGATAATTTTAAAATTATTGGACTTTCTGAAAGCCATGATCCAAAAAAGACATCATCTTTCAAGAAATTATCAAGGAAAACTGCCTTGATATTCTAGAAACAGAGGTAAAATAGAAATTGAAAGAATCTACTGATCACCTCCTGAAAGAGATTCCAAAATGAAAACTCCCAGGAATATTATAGCCAAATTCCAGAGCTCCCAGGTCAAGGAGAAAATATTGCAGGCAGCCAAAAAGAAACAATTCAAGTATTGTGGAACCACAGTCAGGATAACACAAGATTTAGCAGCTTCTACATTAAAGGAGGAAGGGTTGGAACATGATATTCCAGAGGGCAAAGGAGTTAGGATTACAACCAAGAATCACCTACCCAGCAAAACTGAGTATAAGCCTTCAGGGGGAAAAAAAGAAATTCAATGAAATAGAGGACTTGAAAGCATTCTTGATGAAAGGGCCAGAGCTGAATAGAAAATTTGACTTTCAAATACAAGACTCAAGAGAGGCATAAAAAGGTAAAGAGGAAAGTGAAATCATAAGGGTCTTAATAAGCTTAGACTGTTTATTCCTACATGGGAAGATGATACTTGTAACTCATAACTTTCTCATTATTAGGGCAGTTAGAAGGAGAATATATAAACAGAGGGCATAGTTGTTAATTAAATATGAAGGGATGATATCTAAAAAAAGAAAATTAAGGCATAAAAGAGAGAAGGGGAAGATAGAATAGGATAAATTATCTCACATAAAAGAGGCAAGAAAAAGCTTTTACAGTGGAGGGGAAGAGGAGGGAAGTGAGGGGGAGTGAGTGAACCTTACTCTTATCAGAATTGTCTCAAAGAGAGAATAAAACATACACTGAAATGGGTATAGAAATCTATCTTACCCTACAGGAAAGTAGAAGGGGAAGGGGATAAGAGAAGGAGGTGGGGGGGGGATAGAAGGGAGGGCAGATTGGGGGAGGGGGCAGTCAGAAGCAAATCACTTGAGGAGAGACAGGGTGAAAGAGGAGAGAGAATAGAATAAATGGGTTGGGGGGACAGGATGGAGGGAAATACAGTTAGCAGTAGTAACTGTGAAAAAAAATGAAACAAGTTTCTCTGATAAAGGCCTCATTTCTCAAACATGTAGAGAACTGAGTCAAATTTATAAAAATAAGAGCCATTCTCCAACTGATAAATGATCAAAAGATGTGAACAGTTTTCAGAGGAAGTAAAGCCATCTATAGGCATATGAAAAAATTCTCTAACTCACCATTGATTGGAGAAATGCAATTTAAAATAATTCTGAGGTGCTACCTCATAGTATTAGATTGGCTACTAGGACAGAAAAAGAAAAAGACAAATGTTGGAGAGGATGTGGGAAAAATGAGACATTAATGCACTGTTGGTGGAGTTGTGAACTGATTCAACTGTTCTGCAGAGCAATTTGGAACTATGCCCAAAGGACTATAAAAAACAAACAAACAAACATGCATACTCTTTGACCTAGCAATACCACTATAAGGTCTGTATTCCAAAAGAGATAAAAAAAAAAACCCAAAAAGGAAAAGGACCTATGTGTACAAAAATATAGCAGCTCTTTTTGTGGTGGCAAAGAATTGGAAATTAAGGGGATGCCCATCAATTGGGGAATGTGGATGAACAAGTTGTGGTATATTAATGTAATGAATATTATTGTGCTATAAGAAATGATGAGTAGACAGACTTCAGAAAAACCTGGAAAGACTTATATGAACTGATGCTGAATGAAGTGAGCAGAACCAGAAGAACATTGTACACAGTAACAGCCACATTGTACAATGACTAATTTTCATAGACTTAGCTCTTCTCAGCAATGCAAGGATCTAAGACAACTCCAAAAGACTTGTGATGGAAAATACTGTCCACATCCAGACGAAGAACTTTGGAGTCTGAATGCAGATGGAAGCATACTATTTACTCTCTTTTGTTGTTGTTGTTGTTGTTGTTTTATTTCTTCTTTCTGGTGGTTCCTCCCATTGGTTCTAATTCTACTTTACAACATGACTAATGTGAAAATACGTTTAATATGAATGTATATGTAGAGCCTATATCAGACTGCATACCAAATTGGGGAGAGGGAAGGGGAGAAAAGGGGAGAAAATTTAAAACTCAAAATCTTATGGAAGTGAATGTTGAAAACTAAAAATAAATTAATTAATTTAAAATATTTATAGCAGCTCTTTTCTGGTGGCAAAGAATTAGAAATTGAGGGGATTCCCCACCAACTGGGGAATGGCTGAACAAATTGTAGTGTGTGATTATGATGCATTAAAAATAATGAGCACGATGCTCTCAGAAAAACCTGGAAAAACTTACAGAGTTGACGCAAAATGAAATGTACTGTGTACAAACTAACAGCAATATTGTAAGATGATCAGCTGTGAATGATTTAACTATTCTCAGCAATACAATAATCCAAGATAACTCTGAAGGATTAATGATGAAAAATGCTATCATCCCCAGAGAAAGAACTGATGGTATCTGAATACAGTTTGAAGCATACTTTTTTACTTTATTTTTCTTGAGGGTTTTTTTTTCTGGTTTCTTTTCTTTTACAACATGACTAATACGGAAACATTTTTGCATGACTACACATGTATAACCTATATTGTCTTCTTGCTTGTCTTCTCAGTGAGGGGAAGTGGGGGAAGGAAGGAAAAGAATTTTGGACTCAAAGTTTTAAAAATGAATGTTAAAAATTGTTTTTACATGTAACTGGGGGGAAAATACAATACTAAATAGAAATATTCCTCCAAAAAATAATAACTGTAGACAATATAAAATATTTGGGAGTCTATCAGCCAAGAGAAACCCAGGAACTATATGAATATAATTACAAAACACACAAATAAAGTCAGATCTAAACAATCGGAAAAATATCAATTGCTCATGGGTAGGCTGAGCTAATGTAATAATAATGACAATTTTACCTAAGTTAATTTCTTTATTCAGTGCTTTCAAGGATTAAACGTAAATTGGCCAGACCCAGCCCAAGAGAGAAGTCAGGCCCCGCCCCATCTCCTCCTCACGTCTTTCTTTCCCTTTCTCCTTCTGAACTTCAGCCCGATCCTGGCCTCTGCCACAGTTTAGCCCCCCAGGACTCACCAACCCAGGACCAGCAGTTCAGTACAGTCAGCAGAGCTGAAGCCCAGAAACTCAGAGAAAACATGCTGTGATTCTCCCTTCTTGTTTGAAACTACAAGCTCCGTAGAAACAGGAAAAGGAAGTGGGAAAGAGCTGAACTTCACATTAACCCTTTTAAGTGTTGTTATCTCCAGGAGGGAGGAGATAGCCCCTTGGCACTATGTCAGGAGGCTAAGTTTCCAATGACTCACCAGGTCACTTCCCTCTTTCCCTGCTCAGGGTTTCATGACCCCCAGGTGATAAGGGATAAGTTCTTCCATTTTCTCTCCTTCCCACAAAGCTGACTGGCTAATCACTTAATCTTTCTGCACACTTGAAGGGTTTGGATTAGCTGCTTTCCAAAGTTCCCCCAAGCTCTAACTATTCTATCATCTCTGTTCTCAGATTCCTTCCAGCTCCAACATTCCACCTATAAAAACCTTCAGGAGGATTTCCTTAAGAATTGGGATCATCTTAGGGAAAATTGGGAAGTAGATAGATTTCATTGGCAGAATCAGGGTTTGAACTAAAAGAGACTTTAAAAATCATATAATCTATAGCCTTTGTTTTACAGATGAAGAAACTGAGGCTCAGAGAATGTCAAAGTTATGACCATAGACTCATAGACCCTATAGCTGAGACCTCAGGGGCCATCTAATCTAATTTCCCATTTTACAAATAGGAAAACTGAGACCTAGGGAAGTAAGTAACTTGCCCAAGGTCTCAAAGGTAACATCAGAAGTGGAATTAATATGACTTATTGGTTAGAGCTGAGATCAGGCATAAATTGACTTCTAACCTCTCAGTCATGAGATCCAGGTTCTAGTACTGGTTTTGCCTCTTGTGATGTTTTCATTTATGCTGGAAATTTCCCACTGGGTTCTTTCAGAGATAGAGTGTCCCCAGGCTGGGTCCATGAGGAAAAACAGGGATTGGAATAAAAAATCTAGGCTCATTACAGGCTCAGGACAAAAATATGACAATCACAGGGCATATGGCCTGTGTAGTGTAGGGGGACCTAGATAAAAAACTGCTTTTGCCCAGTCTCAGTGAGAGATAAAAGAGCTGGTCTCAAAGGGCTCAACCTTTTAACACTAATGGGGAAATAAAAGAGGCTTTTGCCCAGAAGGCTGGAGGGGGAGGAGCCACTAATTTAATCCCTTTTTGTTTCTTAACATGATTTATAGATTTATGTTCCTTCCTAGGAACCCACACAGATTCATTTAGAACCTAGTCCAGCCTTTGCTAGAACAGAATTCCCCTCAGCAATATCACCCAATAATTTATACTTATTCTGCTTTGAGACCTCATGCAATTAGCCACCCTTCATTTCCTCTCCTGCCTTTGCTTCTGATTTTCTATACTTGACTACCATGCCTAAACTGCCCTCCCATACTGGAAGTTTCCTCAATTCCCATGGCCTTCTCATCCCAAGACGTCTTTGTGTCTCTTGTGCCTTTTCACCTTGGAACACCCTTTCACTCTGCAGCCCTCTTCTCCTATTGGTGAGCTCTTCCCAGAACCTCCATTTTGTGGAAATGTTGAGGTTTAGGGGTGCTGGGACCCCAAAATCACAAGCAGGCCCTGCCTGAAAGAATTCGACCCAAGCCTTCTTTCAGACAAAAACAAGATGTATTAGAACATTCGTCATATTGGTCAGGCTCTTAAGGAATCTGAGCAGTGGCTAGATTTTAAGAATCTGAGTACCTTAATGGAGACAAGATGGACTTTATATACAGAAAGACAGTGGGAGGGACCTAGAAGTGGTCAAGCAGTCTGCTGGGACTGTGAGGTAATAGAATGCGTTGGCCAAGGCAGAAAGGAGCCTGGCTAGGATTAAGGGTGGGAAGTGGGGGGGGCATAGGGAGGTAAGACAATGGAGGACTAGGCTAGGTTAAGGGTAACAGAGAATTGGAAGATTGAGTGTAGCCACAATGAAAGGCCAGTTGATTGGGATTATAACCTCAGGCAAAGGCCAGGGATTTGGCCTTGTGAGAAAGCCCAGGGTTTTTCCTTTCTGGGCTCCAGATCCCATTCTCATCAGAAGGGCCCATCCTTCATCTGCTGTCCTGCCTCTGCTTCTGACTCTTCTGGACAGGGCCCTGTGTCAGTTCCATATCTCCTCTTTCAGCCTTCCCTTTCAAATTCTTTTTTAGGCATTGTCTTCCCTTATTGGAATGAAGGCTCCTTGAAGCTAAAGGGTGTTTTTTTTGTTATTGTTGTATTTGTATCCTCTGCTCTTAGCACATATTTGACGTATAGCAAATGCCTAATAAATGCTTCTTGACTTGACCTTTTGAGGCAATCCATTCTACTGTTAGGAGCACCTCAGTGGCACAGTGGATAGTGTGCCAGGCCTGGAGTCAGGAAAACCTGAGTTCAAATCCTGCCTCAGACATTTACTAGCTCTGTGACCCTGGGCAAGTCACTTAATCCTCTTTGCCTCAGTTCCTCATCTGTAAAATGAGCTGGAGAAGGAGATGGCAAACCACTCTGGTATCTTTGCCAAGAAAACCCCAAATAGCATCGTGAAGAGTCAGACATGATTAACAGACGACTAACCAATAACAACAAAATATCTACTGTTGAATAGCTCTAATTATTAGTATAGTCCAGTCCCCCACCTTGCTCTCAATAAAAGTTACGCCCAGGTTCAAGAAACTCTTTGGGTAAGCACCTATTCAAAACTACAGCTCATGAGCTCCTATCAGATGCTTCTTTTGATCATACAAAATCAGAGGGCACATCAACTCAAAACAAAGAAATTTAATTAAAGCAAGTGGCAAGACAAATTACAAGGAAAAAATGACACCTTCCCCTCCTCCCCCCTCCCCAAATACTCAGGGATACACTCTCCCAGTTATCTCATGCTGCCAGTTGGAGAGGGAATACAGACTAGAAAGCTCACACTCTTAAGGTTTCATTCCAGCTGGAAAACCTTCTGCCTCTGAAGCTGCCACCTGTTTCTTCCCCATGGAGCTACTTTTACCTGCTGGACTTCTTTCTCCACTGCATCTGAATTTCTTGGCTGAGTTGTTACTACCATATGCTGTTTCTCTGCTGAAATGCAATTTTGAGGGGACCTTTTCATCAAAGGGGAGTGTTTCCAGCCCTTTTATAAGATATCCCAGAGTTCCAGGACTACTACATCTCTTCTGTTAGTCAAGCCCACAGCAACCTCCAGCTAGCACAGCAGAAGACCCTTAGCTCAAATTTGTATTTTTTACAATTTTGCTTGTGCTTCAGGGGCAATCTCTTCTGATATTTAGGTTGGTCTAAGGAAGTTCCTTGAGGCTAACACTAAATCATGCAGATTATCGGAACACTTCATTTAGCAAGACTGAAACAGGAGGCTAGAGCTTCTATTGACTTCTGTCCTGTGCTCCTATGGCTATCCCTGCTACCCTCCCTCCCCTGCCTTTCAACAAGCCTAATTCTTCCTGTAAGCAACTTCCACCCATCATGCCCAGTTATTCCTTGTGGGGCCAAGCTGAATAAATGGAATCCCTCTTTTTTATGACAATTGTCATTCTTGAAGACAGTGATCTTGTCTCCCAGTCTTCTCTTCTCCATGCTGTAGTCCCCAGTTCCTCCAACTGATCCTCATGTGATGTGGTTTCTAGTCCCTTTCACATCCCAGATGCCTTCTTTTGGATGTGCTCCAGTTTATCAATGTTCTTCCTAAAATGTGATCCCTGAAGTGGACATAATGCCGGAGATGTGGTTCTACTAGTCCAGAGAACAATGACACTGTCCCTTCACTTTCTTATTCTGGACACTCTGCTTCTGTTTGCGCAGAGACTGAGATGCTGCAATAGAGGAAGAGTCAGGTGCAGGTGTTGCAGTCATTCCTCTGAAGAGATTCTCTACCCAGGTCCTGCAGGCTGCTGCAGAAGCTGAGGAGGGCAGCAGCCGATGCTGCAGTTTTGAAGAATGAGATGCCATTTAGGGGCACTGGACAGTAAGTAGCTTATTGGTGTATGGTGAAAGGCAGTGGATATAAGAACAGCTCTGATGTAGACCATTAGTGGGGAAGTCTTGCTATGGGAGCTAGGTATTACTTAAGTCATAGGTCCCAGAGCTTAGAGCCAGAAGGGACCTGGGAGGGTCTCTGGGCCTACCCCTCATTTTACAGAAGAGGAAACTGAGGCCTGGAGAGGTAAAGTAGCTTCAATCCCAAGTCACACCAGCAGTAAGTAGCAGACTCAAGTTCTTTGACTCCAAATCAGGCAAGCAGTCCTTCCAGTATCCTACACTGCTGCATCTCTCAGAGCATTAAAGGATTTAGTGAATGTCAGGAGGAAGCAGGAGAAGCTGGCAGATGGGGCAAAAATGGTGGTGCCAGGCACTTACCTCAGATTTCCTTACTCTTTTGCTGTGTGGGGGTGCATTCATGGGATTTGTCTTATTGGGCTGGTGTGTGGATTACTCTGGTTACCCCCACCCAAAGTCAAGAGCTGTAAAATCAGCATGTGGGAAGGGAGTGTGGGGTGTGTGTGTGTGTGTGTGTGTGGTGTCTAACACTTAGAGAGGAGCATTCATACAGAGGTGGCTCCCTACCCTCACCACAGGGCACCTTAGGAAGCTTGAAGGGATAGATGGGACAGAGCCTAGGGGAGCCATGACAATAGCCCCAGGTGCTAACTTTGAGGTTGTGGTCAATGGTATCACCTGGTGCAGGAGATGTTCATTGTTCTCCCAGACCAGCTGCTTCTCAGGGGCCTCTATCACATCCTAATCCAATTACCAAGGGATGTAGGTTCATAAAATCATAGATTTAGAGATAGAATAGACCTCCTTATAGGTTGTGTAGACCAACCCACTTATTTTATAGTGGAGGGAACAGAGGTCCAGAGAAGTTAAGCAGCTTGCTTAAGGTCACACAGCAAGTAAGTAGCAGAGCTGGGATTGGAAATTGGTCCAGTACCTCCAAGTTCTCTGTTCATTCCAATCAACTGCACTGCCTTTCTGTGGATACCATGGAATTCCTGAGGCAATGAATGCTTCAGCTTATCTGTAGAATGCAGTCCCACACATTTTCAACCCATCCAATGTATGTGGCCTTTGGTGACTAGAAAACTGGGTCAACAACAGGTCACAGGGTCTTTCCCCCTAC